TTGTGGTATGAATGACATGCCCTTTGGGTCGTAGTATTGCTGCTGTTTTAAGTGCTGGGGTATGGGGGTTATAAGAGGTGGAGACTGTGACATTGCAGAGTTCGAGAATGGGTGCATGTCTGGGAAGACATTTTCTGGAAAATTTGAATTAAAACTAAAGAATGGGTCAGGGATTGGTGTTGATTCAAAGGTCTGGGTGTTCAGTGGCATGTCCCCAACCACACCTGCGGACGGAACCCAATTGGTTTCGGGATGGATAGTTGATGCAGGGTGGGTGGAAAAAGGGTAATCAAGAGGTAAAAAAGAAGGATTTGGAAGCAACGTGCCTGGTACCATGGGATTCTGGTCTGGTGTCATGACCGGAAGGATAGCAGGATGATCAGCCGCAGGTAAAAATGCCGCTCTTGGATCCATTGGAGGCATCATTGGCATCATGTTTGAGGGCTTCCCCGGATACATCTGCTGGTTGGGCAGTGGTCCAGAGTACATCTGCGGACTGGATGGTGGTCCGGGGTACATCTGCGGGTCGGGTTGCTGTCCCGGATACATCTGTTGGCTGGGCGGTGGTCCAGGGTACATCTGCGGGTCGGATGGTTGTCCCGGATACATCTGTTGGCTGGGCGGTGGTCCAGGGTACATCTGCGGGTCGGATGGTTGTCCCGAGTGCATCTGTGGACTGGATGGTAACTGTTGGGACATCATCTCAGCAGCTACAGGTGGTGGTACCATTGGAAACATGTCTGGATCAGCAGGGTTAAACATCTGTGGCAGTGGGAACATCATATTGGACTGACCAGATGGGCGCGACATAGGGTGTGTTCCGAACGGCCCATAGTCTAAAGCCCCGTGTGGGGACATAAAGTTAGGATGAAACTGCTTTGGTAACTCAGTGTTTGTTTCTGAAGCCTCAGTTGGTGGTGCTGTTGTCGTCGGTTCCGATTTATCTGAAAGATATAATATTTTATAAGCATCAGCAGGGAAAGTATTTTTTTAAATAATAAAAAATTTTTAGAGGTGGAAGGCGGGGGGAGGTCATTACTGTGTAAAAAAGGAAGCAGGATATCCCTATCTGATACCCTCTGCGGTTTGGTTTAACATCTCTTTTGGTACGTAGGTTTGTCAGCTCACGGGGGGTGGGGTGGTGGTATGTAATTATATAAAAGGTTAATACAAACCATGTTTAATGAGTTGTGAGTTGGTATTTAAAAAGGAATATTGTAGTAAGATTAACCAATAAACCCCTTTCATTCTGAAAATAAACCAAAATACCAAGATAACGAGACAGTCTGTTAAAAAGGGGTGGGGTAGGGGTGGGCAACAGAGCTTCCGGTGTCCAACTATTCATAGGTTTTTGTGAATATCGTGAGCTTATTTCGGGGGTCAAAGGTAATCAATGCCAGTAAGTTCATTTACATCTTTCAAAAACTGTCCGTTTTTCAAAATATGTAAATTTCAAATTTTATAAAATATAAAAAGAGCACATGATCAGCTCCAAACGAACTACCATAAATGTTCAGCTTTACGGAAACTATATCATAACAACCCTCGAGCATGTTATCTTATACATAGAAATGATGA